TTTTAAAAAATAATTCCACAGGCGATCTATTCGTTTGCTGATAACTGTACAAAATATTTTACCCCAGATGCAGTTTGCATGTGCGCAAAATTCTCAGAAGCGATATTGCAATGTTGAAACTTTATAACTTATCATGTGATAGTGACTTTCACGTAATCTTTATGACTGTGCAAGGTTTCAACACTAATGGTACTATTTTATAGTTCCTTTGAAACCGTACAACTTTTGTTGTTTTATTATAAAATGCATTGAAACAAAGAGATATTAGGGGTAGTAAAAATGGGACACCTTGTATAAATACACACACGCATACATATGTGTATATGTATGTGTAACAACCTGTGTATATATAATTTTTATATAATTATAAATTATATAAAATGGGACACCCTGTATATGTATGTGTGTGTCGATTGACAACTTTTTTATTGCGACATCTGTCGAGTTTTGTCGATAATTATATTTAAAAAATCTTCATTATCGACCCTATCGGAGTTCGCCCGTGCATTTAGGATCCCCTTAAGTGTACAGCTTCTTTTTGGAGTGAGTGTATTGATATATATTTTTATATGTATATTTATATATCTAAATGCAGCATTATTTTAAATTGCACTTATCTAAAGATACTCTTTACATATAATAAGTATGTAGTATATTTCACATGGGTAAAATATACATAAAAGTATTACTGTAAATCTTATAAAGAAAATATTTATCTTAATTTTTCGGCAAAATATTCAGAAATGTATCATTTTCGAGATATCTCATTTTTTAATATGTTAATATGAATCATATAGAGCATTTGATATTCCTTAGTTTTTTGTGCCAATATAAATAATTCTTTGCGTTTTTAGTAATTTTAGTAATTTTATTATAATTAAGTATTTATATTCTTATTTAAAAATAAAAATAAAATAAAAAAAAACAGATCTCCGAAAAGCAGCATGTTTTCAGGAATTTGCCAAAAAATAAATGCTTATTTTCTGATAAAAGAACATTTTTGTTACTATACATATTCTTTGCATATATTTATAAATATGAGTGTATATATTATATGTAGTAATATGCATATTTATGACGTTATATCGTTTGTATTTTCTATTAGCTATAACGAAATGGGTACGTATGATTTACCCGCGATTATTACATATATTACGAATATGAGATCGCAACCATTGCACGCGTACATTGGTCATTCGATGGGCACAACCAGTTTTTATATAATGGGATCAAAGCGTCCGGAAATCGTTGAAAAAATGCGATTGATGATCAGCTTCTCGCCGACTACCTTTATGGACCATATGAAAAGCCCGATAATAATTCTCGTTCCCTTATTTAAGAAGATTAAGGTAAAGTAATATAAAGATTAAGGTAGAGTTTGCTTTAATAGAAATTAATTATAAGACTTGATTATAAAGATACATAATAACAAAAATTGGGAACATGCTAAAAATGATGGCTTCTCTCAACATTTTTACTAAGGAAAAATCGTATCCAAATGATACGAGGAATCTGCCATTAAAAACTTTTCCGCCAGTTCTGGGACACTCTGTATATATGTATATATACATACATACACATACATATATATATATATATATATGAATACTTTATAGATTCAATTATATGACAGAGACGAACAATATACATATATATATATATATATATATATATGTATGTATATTGTTCGTCTCTGTCATATAATTGAATCTATAAAGTATTTCAATTTATTAAATAAAATTAGAAAATGCTTGGAAATTTATTTATTTTCTCAAAATTATAAATATAAAGAAATAAAATAATGGCAAGTCTCATAGATCACGATATAATATACAATAGACCTTCGATTACAGATAATAATGGATGTTCTCTTTCATGGCGAATTAATGGATAGAAGTTGGTTTCAATATTTTGCAGAATTCTGCAATCGGAATTATTCCAATCAAAGGTTTTGCCTCAACGTGGCATTTACAATAGGTGGTTTCAATCACGAACAATTCAATTATGTAAGTAATATAATTCTATTTATACAATTAATTATACAATTTCGTCGCAATCGAAGTTTATTCGAACACATTTTACTTTGCACTTTGGATCGGACTTTGCTTCCATATTATTGTCCTTTTTGACTTTTATTAGACTCTATTACCTCTTATCATGAATCACGTTCCCTCCGGCGCCTCGTATAAAACATGGCTACATTACGTTCAAGGAATAGAATCAAGAAAGTTTCGCTCTTATGACTACGGTCGCGAGAAAAATCTGCTGATGTACAACTCGGTGGAACCTCCGGAATACGATCTATCGAAGATCACGGTACCAATCTTTATGTTCTACGGCAACAATGACTGGTTGGTCGACCCTATTGTAAGTAATAAATAGTATATTGTGTATCAAGTGCGGAAAGTTGACAATTGGTCACGAGTGCGGGAGATGAACGCACAAGCCGAAGGCGAGTGTGACCACCCCACACGAGAAAACAATTGTCAATTCGCACTTGATACACACGATATTTTGTATTACAAGTGCAGGCAAAGTGGCTTTGTGCGCGTTTTCTGTGCGCAAGGTGGCCAATCGCACGCCGCCATCTTGCGACGGCACGGTGCGGGAATAACCGCGTTCAAAGTCATTGTCTACGGCTGAAGCCGTAGGCAATGACTTTGAACGCGGCTCAGCCATAGGTAATGGCTTTGAATGCGGCTTATTCACTCACCGCGTCGCCGTTAGATGGCGGCGTGGGAAATCGGCCGCTTTCCGCACAGAAAACACGCATACAAAGTGCCACTTTGCCTGCACGTGTAATACAAAAAAATAAATGTTTAAATATTGGAAATATATATATTATATATAGAATGTTTTAATTTAAGTGTTACAGTCAATTTTCTTGGAAAGAAGCTATTTTCGAAAAAAATGTTCTATATAAAAGTTGGAAGGTTTTGAGGGAGATATAATATCGTGACCTTGAATTGTCTTTGAGTGGCGTTTTTCAAGGTCGTATATAGCTGCTAGTTGCAAATTATATGCTTTTTTAAAGAGAACTATGTGTTTTCTTTACATCAATGGAGTCCTTACATTATTTTTTGCATAAAAGTATTAAGTTAGATTATCGAACATTTATTTTACACATTTTATGTCATAGTTTCCGTAAGATTAAAATATAATTGTTATTAAAATATATGAAATTGTCGAATTAACATATAAAATGTTTCATAAACTATTCATTTTTAACCATCTTTATAACTTTTTATTTTTATAATTTTTGCCGAATATTGCGAAAAATCGATTTATATGAAAAAAATAAAATAGTCCCATTTAAACAAAACCACTCTGAAAAAATTTATTGAATTTGAATAAATATTTATTTCAATATTACCTTATAAATTATTTATATGAAACTAATAATATTTATTTAATGTGAAAGAATATATGTATATTTAATTGATATAAGAAAATTTTGTTCAAAACAGATAAATATTTATTTGTTTCAAATAAATAATTTATAAGGCAGTATTGAAATACATATTTATTAATTTTTTCTCAGTGTAGATTGATCTCTAAACGATTTATATCTATTTTCAAGGTAATTGACTGTAACTACAATATTTTATATACATATATACATATATTATAGTAGAGATTAATTTACGATAAATCAAGCTTTATATACGTGAAAACGGAAAAATAGTTTAAAAAGAATGGCGCACAACAATTTGCGAAAATATTTTTTTTAAGGATGTGAGGAGAGCGTTCTATTTACTACCCAGCGTAAAGGACATATATGAAGTACCGTTGCCCAATTTTAATCACTTGGATTTCGTATGGGCCAAGGATGCGCCAAAACTCTTGTACGAAAGAACTCTCAAGATTATCAGAGAGGGGAACATTTAATGTTATGTCTACAATATAATGCTACATCGATATAATGAAGATAATAAATAATTTTCTTATGAAAAAAATAAGTAAATGCGAGAAGTGTGTGAAATCGAGATATATATTGCGTGTTGCTTTTTTTCACGTATGTAATTACCATATATAGTGATCGAGATCAATTATAATAATTTCCATATAGTTCGCATCAAGTCAGTTTAAGAGTAATAAATGTTAATCTTAATAGTGATAATTGTTTCTATAATTTTAAACACGCTCTTTTATTTTTCATTTATTTTTGACAATAATAATTAATAATTTTTTAATTTAAAGATCAAGTATATATCTCGAAATTTGTTACGTGCTTTTTTTTAAATTTTATATTATCTTGTAGAAAACCATTTAATTTTGTTTTTCTACATTTTTAAACATGCTTTTTCATTTTTTTAATCATTAGAGGCGATAATAAGTTTTCTCTAAACTTGAAGACAAGTACTATAACAAAGGACATGTCACAACTGTGTATTTAACAACATATTTGAAGGAGAATCAAATCGGTTCCGGACAGTTGTGACTTGTCCCTAAGTTACGTAACGTCACGTATTTTTTCTATATTTTTTATTTTTTTTTTAAAGGACTATTTTATTAAAGATTTTTATATTTTTAAATGTGCTCTTTTATTATTTATAAAGTTTTAATTATTAGCGATGATAATAATGAATAGTTTAAGGGTCACCATTATCAACATTAAGTTATAACATATCTTTTTTAAATATTTTTTATAGTCAAACGGAATACCATTTTGTTAATGTTTATCTATATTTTTAAATGCGATCTCCATTTTCTATTTGATAATAAAAATATTGAAGAAACATGTAGCTACTACTAAATAACTTAATATATTATGGTATCTAAACGACGACTCTAAAATTTGGAAAAAATTAATTAATGTCATTAATAATAATTTAAACTCTTTGAAAATGAAAAGAAATGTGTTTAAAAATATAGGAAAATATTAATAAATCTTTTAATCAACAATAGAACATATAAGCATTTGAAATGCAACAATATACTCGATCTTAATTATAAAGAAAATAATTGTCGCTGTCAGTGATTAAAACTATCCAAAAATAAAAGAACATATTCAAAAATATAGGAAAATGTAAATATGTTAATATAGAATAATATAGGAAAATTGAGACGCGTTTTCGATAATTATTGAAATAGTAAAATTATCTATAAGGCATATTTATATTATGTATAGAGGGTGTCTCGCAACGTGATGTTTACACTAAAACTATGTATTTTTGATGTCATTCAAAGTCAAAAAGTCTTAATACACATATGCCCTAAAGTCAATTGTTTTAAAGTTATGGCAAAGAAAATGCAAAAGTAATTATTTACTTTTATTTACAATTTTCAAATATTATTTACACATTTATTTATTATTTATTTTTTTACTATGACAACGCAGGTAATTGTTTTTTATAATGCCAGTCAAAAAGGTTCGATTTTTGATTGCTGTTTAGCGTGCAAAAAGCGGCTTATTTCTAAACGATTTAATGTACGACTTACCGCACAAGTGCGAAAAAAGCACCTTTATGACTTACTTTACCGCATAGTTTATAAAGTAGTTAATTATTATTATTTAATATTATCGTTCAATAAATAATGTTATTATCTTTAAAAAATAATACTTATTTTATGCAATTTTGTGTTTTTACTGTAACTTTAAAACAATTGACTTAAGGGTATATGTATATTAAGATTTTTTGACTTATTGTTAGGATGACACCAAGAATACATAGTTTTAGTGTGGACATCACGTTGCGGGACACTCTGTATATACATCTATATTGCTTCAAGTAAAATTTATTGTCTCAAGTAAAATTTTCGATAAAAATAACAAAATTAAGCTTTATTAATATTTTTTGATAGAAATTAATTGATTAAGCGTTTATTTACTAACTAAATTTTAAAATAATAGTGTGTAATAAAAATAAAAATAATAATATTTGTAAAATAGTATGTTATAGTACTTTAAATTCGGTTAATATTTTTGACAATTATCAGCTGATTTCTGTCAAAGAATATTAATTACGAATAAGGTACAAATTTTATTAATACTTTTTGACAGAATAAATCATCTGAGAAAAGCGTTAATTTGTTAATTAAATTTAAAAATAATAGAATGTAATAAAAATTAAAAAATAATAATACGTTTTAAATAATAAATTATAGTACTTTAAACTCGATTAATATTTCTTGACAGTTATCAGTTTATTTTTGTAAAAAAATATTAAAACACATTGTTTACAACATTATTATTTTAATTCTTGTAATTTATTTTTATCTCTTTTTCTTTTCCCTTTCCCCTTTGACTCCCCTCTCTTTTAGTTTTGTCGGTGCCTCTAAATATAATTGTTTTCACCAAGTGACTTTAATTCCGTTGAACATATCGACATAGATCGTTGTTTTTTTAGTGATATCACTGCTGTTTAAAGGTAACTTAATTATTTTTATTTATCTGATTATTTGTTAATATCAATTATTGTATTTCTAGTTTGTAATTAAAGATGGTTAAATAATATAACTGAAACGTTTGACAATTGATTGCTGTCATTAATTTATTACAATTTACATCAAGATCGTGTATGTGCTCTCTGCCCATTTGTTATTCTTTAAAAATTTAGTTTTGTTTCAAAATTTAATTAGCAAACTAACTCTTTAATCAGCTGATTTCTGTAAAAAAATATTAATTGAGTTTAAACAAACTTTATTTTATTTGTCTTTAAATATCATTTTTTTAATATAAAATCGAAAAATAGTGCGCGCGTTTGTTTTAATAAGATAAATATTACACGTTAAACCTTTAATAAGGCCTACGATTGATGAGAGCTGTAATCATTAATTTAGTGAAAATGTAAGAATTAAAATTAAGAATCACTTTACATATTGCAACTATAAAAATTGACATATATATAATGAAGAACAAGAAAATACATATGTAATAAAAAGAAAAGAAAAATATACGTCATATATAAGTTAAGGTCGACAAAAAAAATTACATAAACAATAAAATATTTCTTATTTGCTGTTGAAAAGATAAAACATAAAAAAAAACATAAGAAATATCATCGAGATTTAATGAATCAAACATCGTCGATCACCGAGAGATAGAATACAACAATAGAAAAGTGGAATTTATGTGAGTTGACTGGAATTAATGAAGTGAACTAGATTTCTTTTGTGTATATACTAAAGAGCATCAAGTCAAGGCTCATTCTGAGCTGTAGAGTCATTGGATAATGTACTGTAGCTCAAGGATAATGTAATTCTAAGTAGGACGTCACATACTAGATAGTGAGTAAAATAAATGTTATAAAAATAAAACAGAGTTTGATACATTTTTTTCAAATTTCAAAATTAAAAGAAAATCTTAAAAAAATACAAATAATTCAAAATTATAAGCATTAAAAAGTAATTAAAGTAAATAAAATTAATAAATAATTGCAAGATACAATCTGTTTAAAATAATGAAAAAAACAAATAAAAAATAAATAAAAAGATGTAATCTTTTGTTTATAATAAATTTAAAAAATTAGCACAATATATGTATATTATAAATGTAAAATATAGGCATTAAAACTAAATATTCCATTATAGTATAATCAAGTTATATTAAAAAGAAATCTTTATTTAAAATGCAAACTATTTAAAGTCATAAGCATTACATATAAAAGATACAATCAGAACATTTTCTTAGCTATATATTATATATTACAAAAAAATACATCTACATATATTAAAAAAAAGATTTTATTGCAATTCATACAATTCATACTTGTGTATCATACAAGCTTATACTAATGATAAAAATCGAAGTAATATATGCATATATTTGCATATATATTTTTTAAAAATGTTTAATAATCGTATAAATATGAATATTAATAACACAGTACAATCTTTTTTTTTCTTCTAGTTGATAGAAACGTAGTCATAAGCACAAAGCGAAGGTTCATTTTAAAAGTAGTGATATAAGAAGTAGTTACTCGCAGTCGTCACTCGTATTTATATCGCTTTCGTGTGTTTGTTTTTTTATAACATATATATGTATATTGTCCGGAAAACTAATTACTAATTATTAAAAGATGAAATTTGTGTTTTTTAAAGTTATTAAAAATTAAATATAAATATAAAAAATATATATAATCTGTTTATAATAAAAATACAAAAACTTAATAATTGTAAAATAAGCATTACAAAAATATTCATTAATTTCAAAGTTTTCTGTTAAAAATGCAAATAATTCGAAGTCGTAAGTATTAAAAATTACAGTAGAATTAATTTTTAGGTATTAAAGATTTTGTATGTGTGTAACTCTCGGAAACTTTATCTTTTGAATATTTTTCAAAATGTTTAATAATCGTAAGACAATAATAACGTAATGTCTATAATAAGTATACTTAATTTTTTTCTTTTTGATAAAAACGGTCGACGATTTATTTTAAAAGTAGCGTACAAAGAGCAGTTCTTCGCAGTCGTACTCATTTCGCTGTCGCGTGTGAATTTTTTTCAATAACATATTTCTTGATATTCCGGAAAATTCTTAATAATTTCTTCATTTTCTTTTCTGTCTATACTCAGTCATCGATGCAATGAGATTGATCGGGATCATATGTTTACTGTTATTCTGTTGTGGTCATCTTAGTGCGGCACAGATGTCATCGGAAAGGATAAACGAGCTAAGTCCGTTTATTAATGAAATAAGAGAGATCAGCTGGAATTGGTCGAACAACACCGAATTTAATTCTGATATTCTCAGTGTAGTGAGTTTGCATTCATAAAAACAAAGATTAAAATCTTCATTATTTTGATTAATTAAACTTCTTTGCTGCTGTTGGAAAATGATAAAAAAAGGATATACACGCAATTACCATTTTTATTCAAAATTAAAATTTTAATTCTGCTAAATTATACATTGTCTTTAATAATATATAAAAAAATAGTATCTCTACCTTTGTTCTTTTTAAGAACTAATTTAATATTTCTTTATTAATACTATTTAATTAAATCTTCTTTCTTTCTATCTTAAAATATATAATAATATGTGTAATACATACACACACACACACACATATATATATATATATATATGTCATTATGTTTCTCACTTTAATAATACTTTTTGTGGTTTGTTTAAAATAATTTAAAAAATTAATTAAAAATAAATATATACAGGGTGTCGCAGACCTACCGTACATTAATGGAAAATTTCTGAGGTGATTTGGAGATGATTTTTCCTCAGCGAAAATGTCTAGGCACCAATAATTTTCGAGTTATAAATGATTAAAAATAAAAACTTTTTTGTAAACTAAGCAGCCTTGTAAAAATTGATTATAACCAAAATTAAATTTTTAGTTAATTTCAGATAAAGTTTACTTTAATAGAATTTTAATTTAAGGCTTATATATATTTACAAAGATATATGATTTCAAAAATTGCAAACATTAAAAAAATGATTACCTTTATCGATATTTTCGCTGAGAAAAATATTCTCCAAATCGCCTCAGGAATCTCTCATTAACGTGAAACGTAGGTCTGGGACACATTGTATATTTATATCTAATATAATAATAAAATATATATTAAAAATAGTTATTAATTTTTAATACAGTAATTTAAAAGATAAACGTGAGAATCTAATCTTCTCTAAACTGAGTTTTTAAATAAATTTTTCTCGAGTTTCATATTCTGCGATATAACTACTCTGCAGTTTATCTGAAAATTATATTGTAATCATATTAAATTAAAATTATTTAATTTTATTTTAAATTATATATTTTTCATAATTATTATTTTACGTTAACTCTTCATGTTTATCTATTTTTTATATCTATATTATTCATACTCTAGAGAATCGAAAATTTATTCCAAAATAAATATTATATGCATTTTTTGTTGCACGAATTTATTTCAACTTTAGATCAATTTATCTCCTTTTGTACTAATTTTTTTCTTTCAGCCAGAGATGATAAGAAAGGAAGGCTATCCTGTGGAAACTCACGTTATAATGACAGAAGATGGCTATCTTTTGACGTTATATCGTATCCCAGGTGGCAAAAATTCTTTACCTATATTAGTGCAACATGGTCTTTTAGCTAGCTCCGCTGATTGGCTTGTTCTTGGCAAAAACAATGCATTACGTATGATTATTTAATCAATAGCTAAAATAATGCATATATTTCTAAAAATGCATTAAGAAATTGGAAATTAATATTATATGTATAATATATGAGATATTGTATAAAAAAAATGAGTTATGTGATAAATATTGTAAACATTTTTTCAGCTTACCTATTAGCGGATCAGGGATACGATGTTTGGTTGGGCAATATTCGTGGTAGTACTCACTCGAGAAAGCACATTTCTCTATCTACGTCAGACCCAAAATTTTGGAATTTTAGGTATTCGCGCGCATTAAAAATGATTTACTTAGACAGATATTAGACATTATAAATATTACAAGAATTACATATATTTCTTGTTCTTTTTTTTTAAACAATATTTGATTTGAAAATGTATCGTTTCGAGACTATTTCACATTGTGATATGTCAGTACACTATAATACTATTTCTCTCTTAATTCCTTTATGTAAATAATTCTTTGTGTAAAATTTCGGTGCAATATAAATATTGTATATTATTTATATTATATATATATATATATATTAACAATATATATATATATATATTAACATAATATATATAATATATATATGTATTGTAACCGTTAATTTTATATTGTCCGTCGGATCGAAAAGGATCCGGGAAATAGGGCCGATGTAAGTGGCCGACGGCACACCTTCGGCGCGGAAAGCGGGAAATTCTCGTAAACACAAAAAATATGTTTGGTTGGGCGCCAGGCGCGAGAGTCGCGCCACTCTGAAATTTCCAAATCGATAAATGACCTTTATAATCAGCAAAGTATCCCGAAAATTTCCGCGACGGCGATAATCGACTCGCTCAGATCGTCAGTGGGTAGAGGGGGGAGTTCGGACGGGAGAGAGGACGGAATTCGAGAGAGGCTATTTGAAATCGCTCAAATATAACAAACATTAAATATATTTAGACAATGATAAGCGAAGATAGACAGAAAAATAATTGTATAAAAACTTGAGTACAATGTTAGGTCCCGAAAGAAAAGTAATATTCGTTTGATATCTTACGGAGAGATCTCCGCTTTAATAACGCCGAAATACAGATCAACGAGGCCGAAATGTGATTCGAAAAATACAATACGGCGTATGTACGGCCGAGACGCGGCGCGTTGTTATTATTCCACGCCTTTAAGACGACCCGACGCGATGATATCGGACGACACGCGGGACCCGGAAGTAAATTCGCACGCCTACGTGTCGAATAATTATTAACGCACGAGACTTAATAAGGTCCGTGCGGCGTAATTAATTCCGATGGTCTTAGGCAATACAAAATTTCCGTAAACTGTAGTAGGTCCCGCGCGATTTCCCTTGAGATCGATCACGCCGGTCGTCCCTCGCAATATTTTACAAAGAATCAGAAAACTGCGCGGATAATGATATGCGCGAGAAAGAATACGCTATTTCGGATGCGTGACCCTAGATAATTTTCTATTCTCAGATACAGAAACTCTAACAGACGAGAACGACACAATAATCACGAAACGATACGTTTGTTCTACATTAATGTACGAAATCGCGATGACTGTCGGCGTATCCGCGGGAGAGAGAGCCTCTCTTAATTTACGCGCGGGAGAGAGCACGCGGTCGGCCGGGCGCCGGGATAAATTCTACGCGGAACGAAACTCTAAATGAAACTCTCAAAATCACGACATTACCGGTGACTCTAATAACCGGCCGCGGCCGTGACACGCTTCTCTCCCGAATACGGTACTCACAAAAAGAAAGAAGTTAGCGGCTTTACAATATGAGATAGGGCCGTTCGTCTCACCGGTATCGCCGGGTCCTCGTGTGCTTCGGCATCCGCGCAGGAACCTCTCCTCTCTCGCACGTCTCGCCGAACAGTGACGAGCAAGAGGCCTGCCGGGATCACGCCGATACTAAATTTGGCATTTTCCACCCGTGGCGCTCCTTATCCTGGCAGGGCCGCCGGGTACCCCGCGGGGCCCTGCGAATTTTCTTGATGTAAATTTTCCCTCGCCGTTCCTCTATGTTTCCGCTTTTGGTTCCGGTATTCCTCTTTATGGGCCGTCGGGAAGACTCCTACGAGGGCACCTCGTTGCGATTCCTCCCAAAAATCCGCCAGATCGATTGTTTGATCGATGGTGGGATTTCGGTGTATCCGGATCTGCGGGGCTCGAGGCAGGATGTCTCCCGCGCCTTTCGTTCCCGGGGCTCTCTCGCCTCTCGCGAGAGAGTGGCCATCCCCGTCTCGGGCCGGAATCTCTGCGGAAGAAGGAACATTTTACGGCGGTACCCAGGTTCTTAACGGGATGGGCAAGCCAGAATTTTGGTGCGAAAATAATATTTACCGGGCGTGATCCGGACTTGGTGGCTTCTGCTCGGTCCTCAATCGTCCTCTTCGTCCTCTCCGTCCTCTCACTCTTTCTCTCTATTGGTTTCCTCGGTTGAGACACGTACCCTATGCAAAATTGCTCGCCGAAAACGCCAAAAATCGCTCAAACAAAAATCGTACAAAAAGTAATTCGCCAAACGGATGCGCGAAGCGCATCCTCCGACGCGGTAGAAAACGCAAAATGATTGTTCGGGTGCTCTCTCTCTCTCAAAAATTGGCGAGAGAGCAAAGGTTCCCGAATTTCCCGCCTTCCCGGCCGGGCCTTCGGCCCTTGTGACGGACAGTACAAAATGTCACGTCACAACTCCCCCTTCCCAGAGGAGGACCGGGGAGGTTTTACCAGGGACGAACGGTATTAGCCACCAATTTCCTTGCTAGGCAAATATACTTCTGGGCTCGGCGGCCCCGCTTCGGTCCCCTGGAATCAAACTCATCTCCCTCGCGACACAGCCGACACATAAATCGTGCGATACACCAATCGACTCTTAATCAAGCGCAAACAAAGCTAAGCCTGAAAACACGCAAAGAAGACACACATGCTAGGGCCGCATAACCGTCAAGACGGTCAGGAACGGACGAGGTAGGTGTGTGAAATAAAAACGTAAATTAGAACCTGCAATCCTTCTATTCTACCGGTATGGGGGTTACATATTAGTTACCGGGAACGGAAAGAGAGGTCCTCCGGTACCTCGAGGACGGAACAAAAAAAACTGATATCCTCGGGGATACGGAACAAACAACAAATAAAACAAAAAGAACACACAAAAGAAAGAAAAGGAAAAATAAATTTAGGCGGGGTCCCGTTTGGACGGTCCTCGGCCCCGATGGTAAGCGCCCAGATCTCGGTATGCCGGGCCGCAGTCGGGACAGATCTGCACGTCGACGTCGCGCCGACCACACCCGTAACAATATCTGCCCTGTCGGGGTGCCGGGCAGGCGGTGTATCGATGACCCGTCGCCTGACAGTTCCAACAGCGCCGTTGGGGTGACCGGGGTCGCGGTTCGTCCGGCGGGGGTGTCCGCGGGCCGCGGCTGGTTGAGCGCGCGGCCGGGTCCTCCGTCTGTATTTCTTTATCGAAATGCCCCGGGCGGGGCATTCCAATCGGTGGGCCCAGGATGCGTCCCCGTCCCCGGGTTGCCTGACGCAGAGCGTCGAAGACGAGCGGAACGAGCGGGTCGGGATCCGTGGAGGTTCCCCGGTCGATGGTGTGACCGGGGGCCGCTCCGGCGATGGCGCGGGCTACGCTCTCCGTCTGCGTAGCGGCATCCTGGAGGGGGACCGGGTTGGTCTGCGTCCCGCGCTCCTGAGGGTCTGCTTCGACCCTGAATACATCCTCCAGGATGTCTCCTAAGTAGGGAGAGCCGCTGGTTTGAGTGGCCTGGTCCTTCATCGCTGGCGGCACCCAATGCGTGGAGCGGGGCCCTTCGTCCTCCTCCGGGCCGCTCAGTAGGGCACGGAACTCCGCCCAGAACGCTGGACTCGCCTCGTGGACGGAGCGGATGGTACCCGCATGGCGGGACCTGAAAGCCCGCCAGCGTTGGTCCATGTTGATGAGGCGGAATAACGGGATAACTTATCTAAAATTAGGAGGGCGATAGGCTTTAAGGTCTTTTACATGGACTTTACCTATAGGATTTCCCTCCGGATCTCTCAACTCATATACTACGGGGGATAGTACCTTACAGACCTGAAACGGACCATGGAATTTCGGTGCAAGTTTTGCGGCGATATTTTGAGCCGCGGAGGACAACACGTGTTGCCTCTTCATTACCCAGTCACCTACTTGGTAAACCACATTCCGTCGCCTCAAGTTATAGTATCGCGATTGGCGTTGATACGCCTGATCGAGATTTTCCGCTACCCAGTGATGCAGAGTTTGTAACTTTTGCATTCTTTCCGACCACTCGGCCGGCTTCCGCTCCTCAACTTCCGTCGCTTTCGGAGTTCGAGCGCGCAAGTACTCCTTCGGAACCAACTCGCGTCCTAAATTTAGGAGGGCCGGTGAGGCTCCAATGGACGTGTGAAACGCCGTGTTATACGCGAATCGGAAGTCGGATAAATGGACATCCCACTCACGATGATCTCTCTCGAGGAACGCGACTATCATAGTCTTTAACACGCGATTGCTTCGCTCGACGGGATTCGCTTGGGGATGATAAGGGGGTACTGTAGTGCACGTGATCCCGTGATCCTCTGCGAAAGCCCGTATCGTTTGGTTCGCGAATTCCGTTCCGTTATCTGAGAGGAAAAACTTTGGGGTGCCCCATCGCGAGACTACCTCCGCTAAAGCTTCACTAATTTTTCGACCGTTGGCTGCTCTCAACGCAAAGCATTCGACCCATTTGGTAAAGAGGTCTTGTACTACTAATACGTACGTGAATCCTGCTTTACTTTTGGGAAACGGTCCCATAATATCCGCTGCCACAACGGTCCATGGGCCTTCTATTACTCGATGCCCCATGAGACCGGGTGGGCTTGCCTGCTCTACTTTCGTTCGCTGGCACGTGTCGCACTGCCTAACATATTTTACAACGTCGCGGAACATAGACGGCCAGTAATACGAAACCGCTAATCTATGAAACGTTTTCTCCATTCCAAGGTGACCGGATTGCGGAACGTCGTGCGCTTCTCGAAGGGCTTCTCCGCGCAATTCGGTCGGCAAAACTAACTTCCACCTATCTAAGTCCTCGACGATGTCTGATACAATCGCTCGCGGACGATGATAGTACAGATGACCGTCTACGATACGCCAATCTGTAAAACGTTTCTGTCTGTCACGCACCTCCGCAAAGCGTTTACGATACCACGGATCTGCTATGTCGTCCGGGAGATTTGCGTCCGCGACCATGACAACGTTCGCCTCCGTATCTACTTCGTACATGCGGGACAATGCATCCGGAACGTGATGCAGCGCGCCTTTTCGATGGATGATCTCAAAATCATATTCTAGAAGTTCGAGGGCCCATCTCGCGAGTCGCCCCGTCGGATTTTTCAAGTTATGCAGCCACCTTAAGCTGCTATGGTCTGTGACGACTGTAAAACGATACCCTTCTAAATACGCGCGAAAC